TAGTTTTGTTGATCTGTTCTATTGTTTTTTTGGTTTCTATTTCATTGATTTCTGCTCTGATCTTTATGATTTCTAATCTTCTGCTGTGTTTAGGCTTTATTTGTTGTTCTTTGTCCAGCTCCTTTAGGTGTAGGGCTAGGTTGTGTATTTGAGATTTTTCTGGTTTCTTGAGAAAGACTTTTATTGCTATATACTTTCCTCTCAGGACCACCTTTGCTGTATCCCAAAGATTTTGAACAGTTGTGTTTTCATTTTTATTTGTTTCCATGAATTTTTTTTAATTCTTCTTTAATTTCCTGGTTGACCCATTCATTTTTAGTAAGATGTTCTTTAGCCTCCATTTGAGTTCTTTCCAACTTTCTTTTTGTGGTTGAGTGGTAGTTTCACAGCATTGTGGTCTGAGAATAAGCAGGGAATGATCCCAATCCTTGGTACTAGCTGAGCCCTGATTTGTGACTGAAGATGTGATCTATTCTGGAGAATGTTCAATGTGCACTAGAGAAGAATGTATATTCTGTTGCTTTGGGATGGAATGTTCTAAATATATCTGTGATGGCTATCTGGTCCAGTGAATCATTTAAAGACTTTATTTCCTTATTGATGTTTTGCTTAGATGATCTGTCCATATCAGTGTGGGTGGGTATTAAAGTCCCCTACTATTATTGTATTATTGTTGTTTTTTTTATTTTGTTATTAATTGGTTTATATAGTTAGTCGCTCCCATGTTAGGGGCTTATATATTTTAAATTGTTAGATCTTCTGGTCGGACAGACCCTATGAGTATGATATAGTGTCCTTCCTCATCTCTTATTATAGTCTTTGGCTTAAAATCTCATTTGTCTGATATAAGGACTGCCACCCCAGGTTTCTTTTGATGTCCATTAATGTGGTAAATTGTTTTCCGACCCCTCATTTTAAATCCGGATGTGTCTTTGGGTCTAAAATGTGTTTCTTGCAGAAAGCATATTGTAGGGTATTATTTTTTATCCAGAGTGTATTTCAATTGGACCATTTAGCCCATTTACATTCAGGGTAACTATTGAAAGATATGAAGTTAGTGCCATTGTATTGCCTATAAGGTGACTGTTACTGTGTATTGTATCTGTTCCTTTCTGGTCTGTTACTTTTAGGCTCTCTCTTTGCTTAAATGACCCCTTTCAATATTTCCAGTAGAGCTGGTTTGGTGCTTGCAAATTCTTTCAGTTTTTGCTCCTGGAAGTTTTTCATTTCTCTTCCTATTTTCAATGATAGTCTAGCTGGATATAGTATTCTTGGTTACATATTTTTCTCATTTAGTACTCTGAATATATCATGCCAGTTCTTTCTGGCCTGCCAGGTCTCTGTGGATAAGTCTTCTGCCAATCTAATATTTCTACTATTGTAGGTACAGACCTCTTGTCCTGAGCTACTTTCAGGATTTTCTTTTTGTCTCTGGGATGTATAACTTTTACACTTTGATGATGCGGTGTTGAGAAAAGGTGATCTCTCCTTTTCTCAGCTCCTTTATTTTCCATCATTTGGTCATCTATATCACTAATTCTCTCTTCTGCCTCATTTATCCTAACAGTAAGAGCCTCCATTTTATTGTACCTCATTAATAGGTACAATATTTTTTCTTTTTTTTTTTTTTTTCATTTAAACTGGGTTAGATTTTAGTTCTTTTATTTCTCCAGAAAGGGATTTTATTTTTCCAGAAATGGATTATCTTCTATGCTTTTTTTCAAGCCCAGGTAGCATCTTTATAATTGTCATTCTGAACTCTAACTCTGACATCTTACTAATGTCCCTATTGATTAGGTCCCTACGGTTGGTACTGCCTCTTGTTCTGTTTTTGTGGTGCGCTTTCTGCCTTGTCATTTTTTCCAGAAAAAAACAAATGAATGAGATAACAAAATGCTAGATGCTAAATGGGTAACAATGACCCCAGAAAAAATGTACACTAACCTAACCAAATCAGGAACCGGGGGGAGAAGTAAGGGGGAAAAAAAAAAAAAATATATATATGTATATTCATCTTTACAGTCATAGTCCATCCCTTCAACATGTTACCCTTATTTTTGTATATATATGTCTTTCTTCAAAATTTTGGGAGGCAGTTTCTTTGAACAGACCAAAATACACAAAAAACAAGTGATCAGTTGTGTGGCTCTGTTCTATTCATGCTGGTGAAAATAAGAGTAAACATGATGAAGGGATGGACTATGACTGTAAAGATGAAAATTTTTAAAATTTTAAAAATTTAATTTTAAAAATTTTAATTTTTTTTAATTTTAAAAAGGAATTAAGATAATAAGCTGGTTTAAAAGGAAAAAAAAGAGAATGTATATGGCTGGAGACTAGAACAAAGCCATATGCTAGATTTAAGTTATATTTTGGTCTGTTAGAAGAAACTGTATCCCCAAATTTTATTTTTTATTTATTTTATTTTTTAAATTTTCTTGTTATTTTGTATTCATTTTATTTCTCAAAAAAATTATTGTGCTAAAATATATATAACATGGAATTTACCATTTTAACAATTTTGAGTGTACAGTTCAGTGACATTAAAAATTTTTTTAAATTTTTTAAAAAGAAAAACTTATTTGTATACAAAAAATAAGGTTAAATACAATGGAGGGATAGAGTATGACTATAACAATGAAAATTTAAAAAGATTTTTAAGAAGGTATCTTTAAAAAGATATTTAAAAAGGTATTGATAAGATGAAACAGTTAAAATAGGTTAAAATTGGAAAGAGGAAATATTCCAAAAAATAGAAAAAGAAAAAAAATAACAAAATAACAAAAATAACAAAAATTAAAAATTTAATTTTGAAAGACTAAAGAATCATGAAGAAAAAAAATCCATGAATTCTATGTGCTGTGTTTCCCTACCACTGGTGTTCTACAGTTCTCATTGATCAACAAACTTGGTCTTGGCTGGGTGTTCTTGCAGATCTCCTGTGGTAGAGTCTGTTGCAGTGTTTCTCAAATGTCTTTGCCTGAGGTGGAATTGCACCACCCCTGCCAGCGGCCAGGCTAAGTAATCTTCTTGGATTAGCTCTCAGTAGTTTTTGTTCCCTAAAAGCTTTCCATACAGTTCTGGAGAACAAGAATGAAAATGGCAGCCTCCCAATCTCCACCCCCCAAGGAGCCAAGAGCTTGGAAACCCCTTCTCTGTGCACCCTCAGTGAAAAGCAGTCAATCACTCCTGTCTCCCTAGTCTCTGGCCACACTCTGAGCACACCCAGCCTGTGACTGAGCATTTCTATCCCTGGCACATGGCCCTGTTTGGAGACTCCAAACCCAGCAGAGTCCTGCAGCATGCTCCCACACCACTCCTCCCAGTGGAGGAAGGGGGGGTGGTCCCAGATCTGCCCCTTGTGTGGTCCCTGCTTGAAGAGTAGTGGCCTGATTATACCTCAGATCACATTTTATGGCAACCCTGAAGTAACAGCCCACTCCTTGGCTGTCTTTGCACCTGGCTTTTCTGCTCTGATACTTAGGAACTCTGTTGCACTCAGGCACCCCCAGTATTTCTGTGACCCCATGGGTTCTCATACCACACTGTCCCAGTGAGGGTTCCACCCCCTCTCCCCCCACTTAGCCACTGGAGCAATGTCCCTCAGCAGAGCAGACTTCTAAAAGTTCTGTTTTTGTGCTTCCTTTCTCTATCAATTGCCAGTAGTTAGATGATGGAAACTCCCACCCTGGTGGTCTCAAATCACTTTTCCACATGTTCTACCTTCCAGAAAGTGTTCACTTTCCTGTTCATAGAATTACTGCCATAACTATCTAGCTGACTTCCTGGGACCAGATGAAATTTAGGTCTCCTACTCCTCCTGCCACTTGTTCTCCACACTACAATCCTTTCGAGGCATAACATGCTGGGCTTACTGATGGTATTCCTTCTGGAGAAGATTCCTTCCACTCATTTCCACTTATAATATTCTCAAAATGCCATTTCTCTTTCTCCTTTTAAATGCTGATCCTTAAAATTCCTTCTCCCAAAACTTCCTTAATATTATAACCTCTGATTCCACCCTTCACTCTCTTTCCCACTTTCTTTAAATTTATACAGATTTACTTCTTTTTTATTATGTTAGTTGAGTTTTATGATGGGGTGATACATTTGGGAGAAAACTCTCGCACTTATCTAAAAATGGAAAGTGTTTTAAATACACAAAAGCAAGAGGTAAAACAGAATAATGAAAGGTCCCAAAAACAATGTGTAATGTTATATAATTATTAAGAAGTAGAGGAACACAATACAGACCTTTTCAGAGAGCTTGAGCAGAGTCATGGAGCTAAAATAAAATTTTAGAATAAGTCATTATGAAAAGAGTTTCTTTAAACTAAAGCACGTGAATATTGAGTAGGGATGAAAAAAATCTGCTTATATTTTGCAATAACTATTTATTATATATTTCTAGAGAAAAAATAAGCAGACAATAATGCTTGGCATCTAAAATGCTTGATTTGGCAAGCTGTTTACAGAAGAAAAAAACAAAAAAGCCAACAAAAACAACAAACAAGAGAACAAACAAAAATGATATATATCTACAGCATGACTGAATAGACTACTATAGTATTGGAAACATTAGGACTTAATTATAAAATAAAGAATAATTTCACAAGGGTGATAAAATGTTTTCAAGAACAGTTTTGTAATTTATGCATTTTACTTTGACTTAGAATGCATACTTAAGAAGTATAAATTCTGATGTTGATAATAATTAAATTTACATAGAAAAATAAAATATGTCTTTCTTAATAAAGTCACAGAAATGTATTATTCTTACAAATTTACACATTTCCATGAAATATTTTGGAGATAGATGTATGTGTCATCAAGATTTTATCTATGATGTGAAAATTTTTTTTTCAAAATATGTGTTAAGTATTTTAAGAGCTTAATTGTGTCCTCAGTAAATCACAGTGGAACTAAAATAATAAATTAAAAAGATTATTTTTCTGTACTTAATATGTGTCTCTCTTTAAGGAAAACTACATTCATAATGCATGGAAAATATTAACCAAACATCTACTGATTTCTTTTTATTGGGGTTATTCCCACCATCAAGAATTGGCCTGTATTTTTTCATTTTCAATTTTCTCATTTTCCTAATGGCTCTGTTTGCCAACCTGTCCATGATCATCCTTATCCTCCTGGACACCCATCTCCATACACCCATGTATTTTCTACTTAGTCAGCTCTCCCTCATGGACCTGAACTTCATCTCCAACATTGTTCCCAAGATGATTTCTGATTATCTCTCTGGGAACAAGTCTATTTCTTTCATCAGAAGTGCAGTTCAGAGCTTCTTCTTTGTTGCTTTACCTGGTCTGAAGGATTAATATTGGCCTCTATGGCCTATGATCGTTATGTGGCAATTTGCTTTCCTCTCCATTATCCCATTCGTATGAGCAAAAGACTGTGTGTGTTGATGATAACAGGATCTTGGATCATGGGCTCCATCAACTCCTGTGCCCACACTGCATATGTCCTCAATATACCTTACTGTCGATCCAGGACCATCAACCATTTCTTCTGTGATCTTGCAGCCATGTTGACTCTGGCCTGCATGGACACCTGGGTCTATGAGTACACAGTGTTTTTGAGCATCACTCTTCTCCTTGTGTTTCCATTCATCTGCATTGCATGTTCCTATGGCCGGGTCCTCCTTGCTATCTGTCGCATGTGGTCAACAGAAGGGAGGAAGAAGGCCTATTTGACCTGTAGCACCCACCTCACTGTGGCGACTTTCTACTATGCACCTTTTGTTTACACTTATCTATGCCCAAGATCCTTTCGATCTCCCACAGAGGACAAGGGCCTGGCTGTCTTCTACACCATCCTGACCCCCATGCTCAACCCCATCATCTACAGCCTTAGAAATAAGGAGGTGATGGGGGCCCTGAAAAGAGTGATTCAGAGGTTCTGGTCTGTAAAATGAAACAAAGTTCTCACTTGTTCTCTGTTGCTTAGGAATACATTAATTTCATTCCTTAAGAATGCCATTCCAGGATTAAAGAAAGGGATTACATTAATCTAGAAAATTAAAATAATAGACATTTGATAAAATAATTGTATATTCCCAATCATTCTGTTTTTGTGGTAATTTTTCTTTTTATTTCTTTTTTCGTTACAAATAATTTATTAACTGCAGGTTGAAGTCTAAAGGCCACAGTTATACTCAATAATACAAGTATCTAACAATACAGTAAATAGGAACACAATAGTCAACATATATAAAGAGGGACTCCTGGGTGGCTCAGTGGGATAAGCTTCTCCCTTTGGCTCAGGTCCTGATCTCAGGGTCCTGGGATTGAGCCCCACATCATTCTCTCTGCTCAGTAAGGAGCTTTCTTCCCCCCTCTCTCTCTTCTTGCCTCTCTGCCTACTTGAGATCTATCCCTCTCTCAAATAAATAAATAAAATCTTTTTTTTAATATATGGAAAGGGCCCAGATGCCCATCAAGAGATGAAACGGTAAAGAAGGTATATATATCATAATATAAATCTATGTAGAGATATATGGATATAAAAACAGAATGAATTCTTGCCATTCCAATGACATGAATGAAGTTATAGGGTATTATGCTAAACAAAATAAGTCAGTCTGAGAAAGACAAATATCATATGATTTCACTCACATGTAAAATCAAGAAACAAACGAGTGAAGGGAGAAAAGAGAAAGGTAAACAAATAAAAAGACCCTGAATTCTAGAGAACAAGCTTATGGTCACCAGAGGGGAAGGTGTGGGACATGGGTTAAACAGGGAATGGGGATTAAGGAGTACACCTGTGATGAGCACCAGATGTTGAATAGCCACATTATGCACCTGAAACTTATATCACACTGTATTTTATCTAATTGGAATTAAAATAAAATCTTAAAAAAACAGTTAAGTGGTGACAAATGATCTAATATTATGTGCAATGGACAATTTGTGAAACAAGCATAAAATGCTGTCAAATTACTCTCTTCAATGACACTGAAGTATGTAGCATAATTCACATTGTGTTTAATTGTTGTAAATGGTTCTCAGTGTAAATGCCTAGAAACATTTTGGAGTTTTGTTATTTTTTATCTGTATGAATGACCAATGCTGCTATTGATTAACTAATAAAGTAATATAACTTAATTCTCCTTACAAAAATTAGCATATATATCCATAAATATAACACATATACACATATATAACATATAAACATAAAATGCAAAACACTGAATCATAAAGAAACAAATAAATTTAGCATATTTGAAAGTGGAGAATTCCTGGTTTCAAGCCAATCTCCATTTTAGCTAAGGTTTTGTGAGATTTCATTTCCACCCACAGTAGATAGAAATGTTACAGAACTGCGGTGGCTCTGTTACGTTATGATGATCTTCTAAAAGGGGTTCTTCTCTGTTCTTCATGCCACCAGTGGCTCCTAACCATACCCATCCTTACTTGTCTGCACAACATAACTTTGCTGCTTAGAGCTTGTCAGATTCAACCGAATTATAAATAGAAAATGCTTAGTAACCATCAGTGTTCTAAAGCCCATTATTCCTAATGTACCATTGGTAACGCTATGATACTCACTAATGTGGCTATTTCATTGTTATTTTCATCCATTCACATAAAAGTGATTTAGTACAACATTTTCCAACATTTTTTAATAAGTGTACCAATTCTTGGGGTCCCTTGCTGGGTCAGTGGATTAAGAATCTGACTCTTGATTTTGGCTCAGATTATTTTATATTGACCCCCAATCCTGGTTTTGAGACTGGTGTGGAACCTGTTTAATTTGATTTCTCCCTACAGAGAGGAGAAAAGGGTTAGGGGAAATTGGAGGGGGAGATGAACCATAAGATACTATGGACTCTGAAAAACAGTCTGAGGGTTTTGGAGAGGTTGGGGGTGGGAGGTTGGGTGAACCTGGTGGAGGGTATTAGGAGGGCATGTATTGCAAGGAGCACTGGGTGTGGTACATAAACAATGAATTCTGGAACACTGAAAAGAAATTTTAAAAATAAATAAAATTTCTTTTTAAAAAGATTATTTCTCCCTTTCCCTTTGCCCCTCCCTCCACTCCTCTAAAGAAAAATAAAACAATAAAAAAGTGTACAGATGTTTATAGTCCCATATATAATAATAATAATAAAACAGTATCATTTAAAATGGATGTCAGCCTATGTTCTCCTCTAAAATTTTGATAGATTCCTCCGTCATGTTGAGGTCTATCATCCATTTCAAGTTTATCTTTGTGTATGGTGTAAGAGAATGGTTGAGTTTCACTCTTCTACACATAGCTGTCCAAATTTCCCAGCACCATTTATTGAAGAGACTGTCTTTTTTCACTGTATATTTTTTCCTGCTTTCTTGAAGATTATTTGACATCAGCCACAGGCGCTTCTTTCAAGACACGTCTCCAAAGGCAAAGGAAACAAAAGTAAAAATGAACTTTTGGGACTTCATCAAGATTAAAAGCTTCTGCACAGCAAAGGAAACAGTCAACAAAACAAAGTGGCAACCCACGGAATGGGAAAAGATAGTCGCAAATCACACTACAGACAAAAGGCTGATATCCAAGATCTATAAAGAATTCCTCAAACTCAACACACACAAAACAGATAACCATGTCAAAAAAATGGGCAGAAGACATGAACAAACACTTCTCCAATGAAGACATACAAATGGCTAATGGACACATGAAGAAATGTTCATCATCACTAGTCATCAGGGAGATTCAAATCAAAGCCACATTGAGATACCATCTTACACCAGTTAGAATGGTCAAAATCACCAAAACAGTAAACACCATGTGTTGGAGAGGATGTGGAGAAAGGGGAACCCTGTTACACTGTTGGTGGGAATACAAGATGGTACAGCCATTTTGGAAAAACAGTGTGGAGATTCCTTAAGAAATTAAAAATGGAGCTTCCCTATGACCCTGTAACTGCACTACTGGGTATTTACCCCAAAGATACAGCTGTAGTGAAAAGAAGGGCCAACTGTACCCCAGTGTTCATAATAGCAATGGCCACAGTTGCCAAACTGCAGAAAGAGCCAAGATGCCCTTCAAGGGATGAATGGATAAAGATATGGTCCATATATACAGTGGAATTTTATGCCTCCATCAGAAAGGATGAATACCTAACTTTTGTATCAACATGGACGGGACTGGAGGAGATTATGCTGAGTGAAATAAGTCAAGCAGAGTAAGGGTCATTTATCATATGGCTTCACTTACTTATGGAGCATAAGAAATAACACGGAGGACATTGGGAGATGAAGAGGAGAATTGAGTTGGGGGTAATCAGAGGGGGGAGACAAACCATGAGAGACTGTGGACACTGAGAGACAAAAGGCAGGATTTTGGGGGGGGCGGTGAGCCTGGTGGTGTGTATTATGGAGGGCACTGGGTGTGGTGTATAAACAACGAATTTTGGAACACTGAAAATTTTTAAATTAAATTAAAGTAAAGGGGTTCCAGCTTCTTTGCATATTATCATATGTTGTTATCAACATTAGGCACCCATAGAAGTCCACTCAAGTAATCCAGGATGAGGTTTCCTGGACTGGCCACCTGTTTTATTGGTACACCATTCCCGTATTTAAACTTAGCCCTGGAAAACAGTGTTTCTGTATTCATAAATTTAAATCAAATATATTCAATAACCATGTTTTTACAATAATTCTTTTTTTAAGGGGGGAGACAAAGGGTTATAAATATACTCTACTTGGCTTTCAATCCAGAATTATTTGAGTTAAAATCTTATTAATAATGATTTTTTAAGGGACCTGGTGAAACCAGAAATGCCCTTCACTCTTTCTGTGCTGTGAACACATTCAAGTTTAGATCCCTGAGACTGAGAGATTTTCATGAACAGCACCAGTGGGCAGGACTGAAGTAACAGGGCAGTAACTGAAGCACTTTTCCTTCACCAGAAATGCTCTCTGTGCTCAGGGGAGTACAGGAAGGGGAGTTCTCAACCATCCACTGGGTCCCACTCAAATTTCATACCTTCAGCAAGCAAGAATGTCAAATGGCCCCCTGAGGTGTGCTGCTGTCACAGAAACACACCACAAGGCTGTAAAGTCTTGAGCATAAACATGTGAAAATGAGATTAAACTAAGTGTACCACTTGCTTCCAAGTGTTTAAATGTTCTGTATGTGGATGTCTCAAGATTTGCTTTCTTTTCCTTGTTGCCACATATCACTGTTCCTAACACAGTGATGTATGTGTCTGACGGAGGTTGTGTATATTGGTTTTAGATATTTCTATGATCACAGCTCCTAACTGAAAAACTGCTTCAGCAAAGTGTTTTCTATCTGTTTCTCTGAAAACAAAACCAAATTATGCTTCTAACAAAGAACAGTCTAACCTGATAAACAAAACTGATTCATTTCTTGGATTATGCAGATTTGATTTATACATAAGGCACCTCCATGAATGTAAATTCAACAGAAATTTCATAAAACACGGTCTTCAATTAACAGATACTTTTAATTGTAAATCACTAAGGGACTTCATATGTGGGTCTGTAACCTGGGACAAAGCTTTCTGAAAGCCTAAAATGAAACAGGAAGACTAGAAATTCTATGAGGGCAGGAGCTTAGTGACTTTGTCTTCCCACTCAATCTCCAGCAGGTAGAACAGGTCAGTATATATGGGTTATCCCAGGTGGGAAAGAGAGTATGCATCATATGTATGTATTTTATATATTTACTTTTCTTTATTTTGAACTGGTCCTCAAGGATGTGCAAGTAGCAAAGTCAAGAACCAAGAAAGGACACCACAGGGGCAGTTGCAGAACTAGAAGGGGAAGCAGGACAGAGAGGAATGCAGAGAGAGAAGTGCAGTTGGAAGGTGACCCTTCACCTTGGACAGCATTGTGTGAGTGGGGAGGGGTCTGGCAGGAAGCAGGCAGGACTCCTGGAATTTATTCCCAGGGCAAAAAT